TCTAACTTATACTAAGTTTATTATAACTGAGCCACACACCGATGTATTTCAAGTGCTTAGTATTTCATAATTTCACATACTGAATCTTTTTATGTTTTCAGGATAGGTGACATAGCTACTTTAATTCCAATTCTAGATCATAGTTTCTTTTTATCTTGAGTCCTATTTCTTGTAACACTTGGTAGAGAATGTTTATTTTTAATTCAAGATCATTTTAATCCCAACAATGGATACCTGCGTGATCAGCATAAGCCTCCTCATCAGTACACAGATCTTGGAAGGTGTTGTGGATTCCGAGATGAATTCGGTCTCCAAGGTATGACAAACGCAATAATTAAATATAAGAAATAAAATGTATTTACACAATCATAAAACGAGTAATACTGTTAGTAAGTCCAGGAACGCGGTTAGTAGCAAATACAGATGGATATATACAGTCTCGAAGTAGGACTTAGAGTCTACGTACTTGTAACTGACTTCTACAAGAGGTTACCTCACTCTCCGTTCGTCTATTCTCTCTCTATCCGACTACTCTGACTGACTGTGGGTATTTAACGGCAGCAGTCCAGGTACCACTTATATGAAAAAGGGGTGGACCCCATAACAGAAGGTAAAACAGGAACACTGTCATATAGAGAGAGTCTTAAGTGAATTTTTCAGCGCGCTCACGAAGGTGACACAAGGTCAAGTTCTAAAATGAGTTTAACGGCAATACCGTGGAAAAATTGCAAGAGCTCCTCGGCACTTTCCCTATTGGGGACGCCTCAGGCGCCGAATAATGACACCAGGCCCCGCCCGAATGAGAGATATTGCCTGAGGAGGATACCCACTGGTGCTTGAGCTTATTATTTTAAAATTACACTGCCAAAGTCTTAAGAATTATACGATTGATTTCTGAATGAGATGGACGTTATTTATTGCACTCATAGGAGAATGTAGCTCTGACGAGGCTATTTATTTGACCTAGTTTAATATTTGGGATTTGTAACATCTTCCGATGCTGGAGAAAAATACACTTGGTACAGCCTATCTTACACACTTTGTCTTTTGAGCATAACACCCAAAGAATGGCAAGAGCGCCAATAGCACACAAGGGGTTACAGAGAGTGAGAGCAAGAGTAAAGAGGGGTGTTTGAAGAAAGGATAAAGAGAGGGACGGAGATCAAGATCAAGGCATCAGAAAATGTCAATTGACATTACATTTGAATATTTGAAGATTATAGCTATAAGGGAAGCAAGTAAGGGGAAGGGAGTTCGACTGTCGGGAAGTGCAAGATAAGAAGCTGCTGGAGTAGAAGAGGCGGCTACATTTAATCGTTTCCACGATGAAAGAGTGGGACCGAGATGCCAACCCAGAAGCACACTTAAATTCATGCAAATTGGGTACCAGTGAAAGTAGCTCGTCAGAGCATTTGCCGTGAAAATATTTGTAGAAAAGACAGAGGGAAGCCACAGCACGTCTGTAAGAAAGTGACTGTGGACTAGAAGCCAGATCAGGACCTATCATATTGCATATCCGTCTCTGGATTTTGTCGAGGACCTCGAGATGAACAGCGAGGCACCAGACCATATATGGCAGCAGTATTCAATACAAGGACGAATGGTTGATTTGTAGATTTGAAGGATGGACTCAGGCGAGAAAAAAAAACTTCTGGCGCGACACAGTGAACCAACTTTGCTATAAAAATAATTCTTTTTCTTACCTAAATTATTAAGTGATAGCGCCAATCTATTTAATATTTTGTTAAAGAACGTGCTAATCATCAATGAAAATTTGGCAATCTTTACCCTATGTGCACATAAAAAAAACTACGTTGTGTCAAAAGGACGCGTTTTCCTTTGATAGCTGTGGAGAGCCATGATCACCTATGTCCAGAAGGTATGCAGTATATATAAGAATAATAACAATACAGGAATATTTGTAGATATAATATTAATAAACATCTTTTTATCATCTGTAGATACTATAATCTATATCTTTTTAGCATCTGTAGATATAACAATATACATCACTTTATGATCTGTAGATATAATAATATACATCTTTCTATCATCTGTAGATACGATAATATACATCTTTTAATCATCTAGGGATAAAAACTCATTTTCTGATCTGTAGATATAATAATATACACCTTTTTATAATCTGTAGATACGACAATATACATCTTTTTATAATTTGTGGATAGTATAATATACATCTCTTTACCATCAGTATATAAAATAATATACATCTTTTAATCATCTAGGGATAAGATAATATACATCTTTTATGGTATCGTTTGGTTTGGTTTGTGAGACGGCATATCAACCTCAATGGGTTATTTAATGCCGACAAGATTTTTATTGCTACTAATATTTTTTTCCAAAAATGTATTGATGGTAATATTTTTCCTTCAAAAATGTATTGCTGGTAAGATTTATTTTCTTCAAAAATGTATTGCTGGTATTAAAACCTATTTTTACACTTCCATGTTGTTTTGACCCCAGTTTTTTAGGTTAACGATTTGGGACCCTGACAGGTGCTAGCATCTCGGGTCAGGGTGGACCTGGGAAGACCATTAATTAAGATGTGGTTCCACGTTCCTCAAAACCTCCTAATCAGAGGCCTTGCTGCTGGATCTAATTTATCGTCATACCCAGGACGAATTTTTTCTATGATCGGTAGATATTATAATATACATCTTTTTATAATCTGTAGATACAACAATATACATCTGTTTAGCATCTGTGGATAATATCATATGCACCTAATTTCAAGAAAAGTAAAATGTCCACGTTGGCATTTACTTCAACATTAAATTGCCCATGAAAAGTTGATATGCAGTTAAACAACAAGTCAATCATTTATCGGTCTGTGGTAGAAAATAAGTCATCACCGACTTGTCTGCGTAAATGCTTTTGAAATCTGTCAAGGCTAGAAAGTGAAGATTGAGTAGCTCCAGTGTGGACATGTCAGCAATATTCTTTTTAGTTTTATTCAGATTCTTGTAAAGACAGAATTTGGATCCTTAAACATAATCATACAGCTGCTGACAAATACCGTAGACAAATTGCTAAAGTCCCCTCGACGGGTAATGACTCAAGCCCCATCCCGAAAGAGAGCTATTAGCTGGGGAAATGCCACCCACCCACCGGGGCATAAGCTTAATAAGAACAAGATGCGATGCCCATAAACATGGATAGCAGAACGACAACAATCAACTTCGTAGATTAAATAAAGGGTTATGTTAATGTTAGACGGGTCGGCAGATACCTGTTGAAAGCCGGAGAGTACAACGGTCGAAGCGTGTGCATAACAATAAAAATAAATAAATAAGTTTCGCAATGATGGATAAATACAAAAACTTCTTCCATAGAATGAAATTAGAGCCTTTTTTTTCTTCTGATGTCAAATCCAAATCTTCTGGAATAATTCGTAAAATTTTAAAATCCTAATAATATTAACAAGCTAATAAATAAATAATGTTTAACATTTTTGTTGTAAATTCTCAAGAACAAATCAAATGTATAAACTCATTTTCATCATATGTTTAGATTTCATTACAATTCTAAACATCGTTTTTTAAAACGATAATCATTGCCGAGGAGTAGAGAAAGTTAAAATAATAGCGGTGTCAAGAGAAAAAAACCTGTCCTTTTGACTCACCATTTCTTATTGACATGAAGGACAAAGATTACCGATTTTTTTTTTTTTACTGCTAATAGTTTTGGAGAAAAAGGCCACCAAATTGTTTTCCTAACCTCAAATGCCATGTCACCAATTGCAATGTATTAAGACAATGTTTCTTTTATTTGGTGGAATAGTCATTGTGATTTCAATCCCTGGGTGGGGAAATACAGACTCAGTGTATCCAGGAAAAGCAATAAATGATCATTACAAATAAAGAACAACATGAGATATCCCTAGATATGGTCAGCGAAATAAGTACAGAATACAAATGTATACAAAGAAGAAAGGATAAGAAGCAAGTAAATAAAGTATACGTACATTCTTTTTATATTCCAGAAATTGTGTAGGTAGTTTCCACAAAAAAATTTTTGCTATTTTTCTAGTGTGTATCTTTCTTTTTTCTTCATAGAACAGTTTCTTCTTTTGAAGCCTCTTGAACGTTTTCTTAATGACTCCTCTGACTACTTCAACTTGGACCGCCACATTCTAACTGCTACTCAGGCTATCACGCGGATTACATACATGATACCATGTCCTTTATTTAGGCCTGGTGCACATTACAATTTCGTCATACGAATTTCGTTTTCATACAACAGGAAATAAACTAGGCACAGGGGAGGGGATCTCTTAATAACTTGTCTCACTACTTTAACACAAACTGTTACATACGACTGCTACTCAGACTATCATGCGGTTGCCTACATGGTATTTTGTCCTATATTTATACCTGGCGTACATTACAGCTTCTTGTGATGAAGTTTATTTTCCTATTACAAGAAATAGTCTAGACACAGAAAGATTTGTCAAAGCATCCTTTTACTGTATTCGACTAAGTCTGTTACACACGAGTGTCTACTTAACATGTTGTCAGTTATTTATGCAGAACGACCGGGCGTAGTAATGTACCAAAGCATTTAACATAGAAATGCTGGGCTCTATTTGAATATGTCTTACTTGAAGGATATAACATTTCTTATAACTTAATAATCACAAAAAGAAATAACTGATACTTTCCAAAGTAATAATTTAATATATATTTTAAATGTTGTGTCTATTTTATCTTTGTCTGAAAATTATAAGCTAATTAGATTTTTAAGATTTTTTCTCTTAGACTGACAGCCAAGGCTTATATAGACCCATTCTATTCTATTCTATTATCTAAGACATAACCGACTAGAGATATAAATTAAAATATTACTTACTTTATTACTAGAAATTTAATTAAATACTTCTAGTTTATTAATATATATATATATATATATATATATATATATATATATAGAGAGAGAGAGAGAGAGAGAGAGAGAGAGAAAGATAATGAACAATATTAGATAGATAATGAACGGAATCTGATAGATAGATAGATAGATGAATGATAGATGAGATATGAACATCCTGAGATAGATAGATAGATAGATAGATAGATAGATAGATAGATAGATATGAACATCCAAGGATAGATAGATAGATAGATAGATAGATAGATAGATATGAACATCCTGAGATAGATAGATAGATAGATAGATAGATGAGATAGATAGATAGATATGAACATCCTGAGATAGATAGATAGATGATAGATAGATGAATAGAATCAGAATATCCTATATATATATATATATAATGAATATATAGATATATATATATATATAGAGAGAGAGAGAGAGAGAGCGATACATAAATAAATAATGAACAGAATCAGATAGATAGATAGATAGATAATGAACAACCTGAGATAGATAGATAGATAGATAGATAATGAATAGAATCAGATATATATATATATATATATATATATATATATATATAGAGAGAGAGAGAGAGAGAGAGATGCATAGATAGATAATGAACAGAATCAGATAGATAGATAGATAGATAGATATATAGATAGATAGATAGATAGATAGATAGATAGATAGATAGTGAACAAAACCAGTTAGGTAACTTCTAACTGAATTTCTCAGATGCGTTATTATTTCAATTAGGCTACTGTCCTCAGTTTATATATATATATTTTATTATATATATATATATATATATATATATATATATATATATATATATTATCACAACGTTGTTGATATTCCAACAAGGTAGTTTTTATTTAATCTACGGGGATAGTCTATTCTCGTTCTACTGCTCATGTCTAAGGATATCTCGTCTAGATCTTATTTAGTATTGTTCAGTTACTGAACGCCCGTTTCCACTGAGTCCAGGCACACACTATTCGACCCAGGGATTGAACTCACAATCACTATATCACCAAATTCACAAACCAACGCTTTAACCCACTACGTCTTTGTCCCGTAGTATATTTTCTGCTCATTCTTTTTGTCTCTTCCCTTTCCCAACTGTAGACACTGATGATTTGTTTGCTGTGCAGTTGTTATTCGGAAGGATGCGTTTGATGATCATCATTTTTTCTTTTTCTTTTTTTTTTGTTGCTATGTCCCTGGGTCGTTGCTTATGATTTTTGCCCACTGCCGTAGGCATCGAAAATTAACACGTCAAGTGCTTGTCGGAAAAGAGTCAAAAGATCTGCACTCCATACAACATCCGGACAATATTCAGAAGCATTCTCGCTCCACAGAGAAATCTTTGCCGAATAAAGCCTAACCCAACGGAGATCATGGCCAGAAATGCGTGTACTCGATTTCTTGCTGGCATAGAATAAAAAAATAAAACATGTCGCTCCCTGTAAATAAGGCTGGAGGAACATAAAAAAGCCGAAGTGATGGGTGAGACAATGAAATCGAGCACGGCTGATCATGTATGGAGGAAAAAATGTAGTCATAAGCCTGTATGGACTGAAATGAAAATACTGGACAAGGAAGAACACTGGAGAGTTAGAAGTATGAAAGAATCGGTGTTGCAGGGGTCCCTCGTTCTATGATCTCTTGGTGACAGCGTCAGTTCTATAATAAAGATGTCTTCCTCCTCTCATCTTCTCCCGGTCGCTGATCTCTGCTTGTTTTTAGTTCGGAAATAAATAAGAACTTCAACAAAAGGATTTTAAAATTTTTCTATTTTATTTAACACGTCGGCGTGTGCATTTCTAACTAGCCAGTTGGGTCGCTCTCTCACTCCGCTGGGAAACCGCTTCCCATACACGAAGAAACACGTCTACATTCTTCCACGTGTAAAGCCCGATTCCCTGCATTCCATTTCTATATCTAACATTCATACGCTAGTTTTAGCCAATCAAAAAAGACTTCTTTTGTTTTCCTGTACCTGACCTTCAAAGGTCAAAATGAAAACGTCAAAATGAAGACGTAAAAAATAATAATCTGCTAAACTAGTATTTAACATGAGAATCTCCTTAGTAGGGATAGCATAAAAATAAATACAATATGGGAGCCGCTAAGAAAGAAAGAAAGAAAGAAAGAAAGAAAGAAAGAAAGAAATATTACAGAAAGTCTTCAAGCGCAGCAACAACAGCAGTAATCAAAACATGAAAGCCAGCAACAGCAGCTGAAGCAATTACAACTCTAATCAGCAGTCAGTTTAGGTTTAAGGCTCCAAGTTCACTACAGCAAAATTGTTCAATTGTCTAGTGGATTAAAACGTTGGTTTCTGAATTTGATGACATAGTGACTGTGAGTTCAATCCCTAGGTTGAGCAGTGTGTACCTGGACTCAGTGGAAACAGGCGAACAGTACTAAATAAGATCTAGGCAAAATATCCCTAAACATGAGCATTGGAACGAGATTAAATAAAGTGTTCAGTTCAGAATTCCCTGTAGGTTATTACCCAGGTCAATATACACCTGAGGAAAACCGGTGGGCACAACATTATTTGCATCATTTACAAGCGCACTCTATTTTTGTTGTTACTATCGCAATGTTTTGGTCGTTGTGTTCTACAGCCTTCATCATATTTCGAACTAAAAATCTGATGAAGTCCAAAGAAAAACGGCTGAAACATGATAACAACAACAAAGATGAAGACAACAGTCCGAATATAAATAGCGTTTAGATAGATAGATAGATAGATAGATAGATAGATAGATAGATAGATAGATAGATAATGAGCAGAATCAGATAGATAGATAGATAGATAGATAGATAGATAATGAAAGCGATTGAGATAGAGAGATAGAGAGATAGATAGATAGATAGATAGATAGATAGATAGATAGATAGATAGATTGGAATCTTGTATTTCCTAGTCAATTAAAATTAGACACTTGTAAATCCTAATTTAAAAAGGAAAATAATTCCAATAATTGCCAAGTCAAAACCAACAGCGAAAATGAAAGAAAGTCTGTAATTCCTGCCGAGGAATTTTACCAAAAATATTAATCCAAGAATATTCTATATTTGATCGACAAATGTAGCCTGATCCTTAATTAGTATTAAAACAAGAGGAAAACAGCAATGTCGGCAACAACCTAATTTGGCTGAGAACTATTTTAGTGTTAATATTTCCAATTATGATAAGCATAATAATAATAATAATAATAATCCTTTCTCTCATTTGTATTGTCTTCTTTCTTTCTTTCTTTCTTTCTATCATTATTTATTTTTTTTTTTTACTATTATTGTTTCATCTTCTTGTTTCTTCTGCTTTTTTTTTCTTATAATCTTTTTTTTTTTTTTTCTTTTTCTCATCTCGTCTTATTTTTACTTCGCTCGCTTCTTTCTTCTTTTTACCAATTTTTTTCTTTTATTTAATTTACCCCAAGCAAGGGGATAATGCCACTAAGATGCAAGGGTCTACTGGGAAGGAAAGAGAATAAGAAGACTTTAGAAGGAACCGGAAACTCAATCCGAAATCCTGACTTTCTTTCTTATCTTCTTTTTCTTTTTTTTCCTTCTTTCTTACAATTTTCTTTTGTATTTTTTTTTCTTATTTCTTCTTTTTCTTGCTTCTCTTTCTAACCTCTTTTTCATTCCACTTTTTCTTCTTTTTTCATTGTTTCCTCATTTATTTATTTCACTATTTTTTGTGTATTCTTTTTTCTTATATCTTTTCTCCTGTTGTCTTATTTTGTCTTTGTGTTACTTCACCCACTTCTTTCCTCTTATGTTTTACTTGTTTTCTCTTTCTTTCATTTTTCCATGCTTTTTTCTTTTTTTGTCTTTCTTCTTTTCGCCTTTTATTTTTTATTTTTATTTTTTATTTTTCATTTTTTATTTTATTTTTTATTTTTATTTTTATTTTTCATTTTTAATATTATTTTTTTATTTTTATTTTTTTTTTTTATTTTCATTTTTTTTTATTTTATTTTTTCATTTTTAATTTTATTTTTTTTATTTTTTATTTTTATTTTTTATTTTTCATTTTTATTTTTTATTTTTATTTTTCATTTTTATTTTTTTTTTTTTTTTATTTTTCATTTTTCATTTTTATTTTTTCATTTTTATTTTTTATTTTTATTTTTATTTTTTCATTTTATTTTTTTATTTTTAATTTTATTTTCATTTTTATTTTTTTATTTTTATTTTCATTTTTTTTATTTTTATTTTTCATTTTTTTTTTCTGATTTTTTATAATTCTCTTTTTATTCTTTCTTCTTATTTCGTCTTTTTCCTACTTTTTTCCTTCTTTCTACTTTTCCTTCTTTTTTTCTATCATTAGTTATTTATTCTTTTCTTTCTATCACTATTTTTGTTTCTTTTCCTTTTTTTCTTGCTTCTCCTCACAGCCATGTTTTTCTTCTTTCTACTTTTCTTTTTACTTTTTTGTTTCTTTCTTTTCTCTTTATTTTTCTTATTTCTCTTTCGTTTGATAATGTTCTTTAACTCGTTCTCTTTCGTTTTTAATCTTTTTTTATGTTTCTCTCCTTCTTTATTCTTTCGTTTCTTCATTATATTCTTCTTTTCTTAAAATTTTCTTTTTCTTTCTTCTTTCTTTTTAATTTGACGTTGTTCTCTTTCTTCACTTTTCTTTATTTCTTTATTCCTCTGTTATTCCTTTTTTTTTTTTTAATTATTTTCTTATAATTTCTTTTTCTTCTTACTTCGAGCCCTTATTCTTGTTTCTTTCTTTTTTTCTTTTTTTCTCTTGAGATATTTTTCTTTCCTTATAATTTTCTTTCATTTTCTCCATTTCATTTTGTTCTTCTTTACTTGCTTTTTTTCTTCTTCCTTTTCGTTCAATCTGTTTTTTTCTTTCTTTTCATTCTTCGTTTGTCTTCTTTATGCTTGTTTTTCTCTTTGTCTAATTTTCTTTTTTCTCCTTAAAGTTTACCGTCTTTTGCTCCTTCTTTCTCGTTTTCTATGTCTTCTTCTATTCTTCTTCTTTTCCATTTTCATATTCCTCCTCCTTCTTTCAACTTCTACCTTCATCTTTTTATTCCTCTTTTATATTTTCTTCTTCTTTGTCTAATATCCCTTTTTTTTTCTTACTTCGATAAATTTCTTCACCACGCTTTCATCTAATTCATTCTTTTATTTTTTCCTATTTCTTCTTCTTCTTCTTCTTCTTCTTCTTCTTCTTCTTCTCCTCCTCCTCCTCCTTCTTCTTCTTCTTCTTCTTCTTCTCTGTCTTCTTCCTCCTCTTTTCTCCAACTCTTTCTTTTATCCTTTCTTTTCTCCTCCTGATTCAGTTTAGATATCAAAGTCTTAAATTACGACAGGCTGATTTGGGCTCACAACTTTCAATAACACGATCGAACCCAAGTCTTTTACACAAATCCCAGTGTATCATTATCTTTAATCCCTTGTCCGATAGAACAGCATTATTAAAACGCTTACGCTTTTTACACACTAAAACCTATTTAATGTACGCATCTCAAAAAACATTTACGATTCCACTATGATCATCATCTCAGCTTTTCCTCATATAAAATCTTAATCTCTGGCAATTAATGTATGAACAGCGAGCCACAACCAGAAACCTTTTGTATCATGCAATTTTCTTGTCTCTAAGTGCTCATCACTTTCCGGAATATTCTTGCCGTTTCTAAGAGGTTTCTTTTCTGCAACAATTCCACTGGCCAACCAATTTTTCTTTATCCATGTCTCTATTCTGTCAGTCACCGTATCGAGTACACCAATGTCAACTAGTATTAGTGTAACCTTCTTCAACTTTAAAAGCTGTGCGAGATCAAACATCAATTGGTCATTGTTGATTACTTTCACTTGTTTTTGTCCAATCCTTGTATCAAAATTGCACGACGGATCAAAGATTAACACATCTTTTCTTATTTTACCTTCCACTAATATGGCTGGTTTGTTACGCCCCTGTTTCTTGTCTGTATTGAGAAACAAAACTCAAAAGCTTGCAGGTTTCTGACAAAAGGATTTTTATTATTATTATTGTTATTATTATTATTATTATTATTATTATTATCGTATTTTGACTTTTGCTCTCGTCTGCGGGAAAACCTAAGTCAGGTAGTGGTGTGTTGTTATGGCTACATTCCATGATTTGTTTTTCTACTTCCTATAATATCACTAGCGTTAGATGGAAAAAGTTCGTCTTCTTATTATTATTATTATTAAATTTGAACAAAATTATTATTATTATTATTATTATTATTATTATACAAAATGATTAACGTTACGTTAAGAGAAAAGCACGATTTAAAAAAAGAAAAGACACGGTGTTTGACAATTTTCAACTATGTCACAGCAGTCTTCTTCCTCTTCCTCTTCTTCCTCTTCTTCCTCTTCTTCTTCTTCTTCCACGTGCCGTGTCCCTTCAGGACGTTGACGTACATGTCTCTCCGCAAATTGGACAAAATAGAGACATGGATAAAAAAAAAAAAAAAAAAAGAAATTGGCATTAATTGGCCAATGGAACTATTACAGAAATGAAGCCTCTTAGAAACGACAAGAATATTCCGGGAAGTGATGAGCACTTAGAGACAGAAGAAAATTGCATGATACCTAAAGTTGTTGATGTGTGGCTCGCTGTTCATGCATTAATTACCAGAGATTAAGATTTTATATGAGAAAGTACTCTTCTTCAAGTTATTTAAAAAAAAAAACTGTATTCAAGAATAAAAATATAAAAAATCTGCAAAAAAATGATAAGTACAAATGGTGGTTGTCTTGAGGAAAACGGATGTAGTGGTAATCAACGCGTCAAACGAGTTAAACGCAACCAGAATGACTTGCATACAACTTAAACTGTAGTAATCATCGTGCTCATCTTGAAATTTTCCGTTAGTTCATTAGTTACTAAGGGGAAATAATCAAGTAGCTTAGTATAAATCTCATGGAACTCTCCTGTCATTTTGTTCATTCAGCCGAGGCGGGAAGTCAGTAATTTGTATACGTAATTATCATCATGCGTTTTAAGGATCGAAACTCGGAGAATTCTAGATATTTTTTCAGAATTTGAATCTTAAAATGTTCGTCGAAATTAGAGTCGTTTGTAATAAAAGGTTGCGCAAACTCAGTTGATGTCACATTGTTGTGTCTAGCATCATACCTGCAGCCATCGAATCTTTTATTTCCTTTGTCTGTCGTGCAACTCACATAAGTCAAGTCATATTTGGTACATTGGGCGACGTATATCAAATGGGAATCAGTACAATTGCCACCCTCTAATAGAAATAGTGATGTTCCTCATTGAATTTGTGATGGAATTGATTTGAACGGGGTTTTCCCCTTCTATAATTCATAGAAGGAGAAAAAACCTCTTTGTAATTATTATTGCGTGAGAGATCAGTACATCAACAAAATGGCTGGGATACTAATCACAATATACCCATTAGAACAACCAGTGTGATGAGCGTATACTACGTACATGTACCACAGCCAAATTTTGCGCGATATGGTAAAAGAGTTTTGATAAAAGCAGAACATAACCATACAGATGGGACCCAGTTAGAAAAAAAAGCTTCATTATTGGGCAACCCAATCAGCTCAAACTGTCTCCAATGGAAGATACTTTCAAATATGTAAATGTGGCTCCCAAGTCGTCTTATCTACCTGAAGCAAAATTGTTGTAATTAATTTTCCTCTATGGTACCCAGACTTTATGAATTTAAACGCAGTACTAGATTGGCGGTTAGGTTTCATCAGTTTACAGTCGAAATGTCTAGATGTAACCGTAAGTTCTATGCTAATACTTTCTTCTATCGCACTTCTTGCCTGTGGAACTCTCTTCCGGTCTCTTGCTTCCCTGTCAAGTTTGATCTTCAAAAATTTTAAATTCAGTGCCAGTCGTTATCTTTTTTCTTCTTACTTGTTCTTCTTTTACTGTTCCTT